AACAATTAACTTTAAATTGATGGCATAACCTATAAAATTCAATGAGTAATGAAGAAAATATATTTCTGTAAATGTGCAGAATCCCTTTATAAATGAAAAAAGACAAAAAATCACAAAAATGGATTTAAAATAAAACAAAATTTACATGGATCTTATTGTTTGCCACCAAGGCCCACTAGAAAAACAGGCCAGGATCCATGACGTCACATTAGTGGATAGATTCATTGATAGATTCACTGCCATATCCCATATGTTTTTATGTAAATAAGCTGGCTGTTTTTTCAGATTTTAATGGTAAGATTTTAGTACAAGTATCCACCACTGTGACGTAGTGTTGCGCTGCCCGCGCTGCAGCATGGCCAGCTCTTCTAGTGCGGCCTTGGTTTGCCATGCTGGTGACGAAATGATAACGAAATATAAACAGAAAATCTAAACAAATGGAAGAAATTCCAATCACATGTTTTATTTACAGTGAGGGGTGGAAATAGATTAATTATGTACATTTTTGGTTTTAGTTTAGTTAAGTTATAGCGAATTTCCCTGTAGGGAAGTAACTATTACCGTAGGTCTCATGGTAAGACCTAGACCTGGGACCGATTTACTTTTTCATTTTGATGTCCCCAGAGGCCAAAAATACTATTCGTCCAAATTTGTATATTCAATTTAATTTTATCCACACGATAACTTGAGTAATTTTCGTCCGATTTTGATAAAATTTGGTTTGAAGGTGTAAGCCGGGGAGAACTTGAATGAGTTCGCGAATTAGCATGATCGGACCATGGGAACGGGGTTTAACGGGGGGTTTTATGATGTAAAAATGGGTTTTTTGTTACCCTTAAAACACACAATTTTTAAAATTTTCTCTAGACCTTTTTAACGAACTTAAAAAAGCAAATAATTTAGTATATCAAAGTGTTTTGTATGATAGTAGGGTTACGGAGAAAATTCAAAAAAATGTTAATTTACAATTTTCATGTTATTCTCATGGAGAATATTATAATATGTTGTAGTTGGCTTGTTTATGGGTAAATTTTGATCAAACTTGGCGTTTTCATTTATTTCATACTAAGCTATTGATATTTTAATAAAAAAAAAACACATTTCATTAGTTTCCCTGTATCAGCTAACCTAGGTACTCGTTAAACATGAATGTTAATTTAATAGATTCATAATTAAAAATCAATCCAGCCAAATGGAAATTCCCTAAGTCGGCAGGTTTGCTGCAGCGAGGGTATTTGACCATTGGACTACCTCTAGTATGTTCCTCTAGTATCCAAGGAATACTTCACTTTGATTTAATTAAAATAGTTTGTTGTTTACACTTTTTTATTCTAAGTCAATTTAGGGTCACATGGCTGTTTATTTCTTTTTATGGTAAAAAATTAAATGTAAATGATTGATAAAGATTCAATCATAAAACATGAAAGCCATTCATATATTAGTTTGAAATAATAAAAAAATGCACTTAACACTTCCACAATTAGTTAATTGTGATCTCGAAAACGGTAAACGAGTTAAATATACAGTAAAACTAATCCGTGTATCTTGTATATCGTATTAAAATATTTGAAATATAACTTGAATACTACCTAGAGTAATTTATATTACTAAAACATAAAATTAGTACCAAGACTACCAAGAATAAATTTGTCCTAGCAAAACAGGATATACCCTTTGAGAACGAGAAACAAATTAAACTTCTATTATCTCATTATTTAACTGCTTTGGAAAGTTTTAATTAGTTCCTTTGTAAAGAGAGAGATAGAGTTCACCATAGTGACAACTCATTTAAATATTTACAAATAATATTTTTATAAATGTTATTTTCTCCGCCTATACATAGTATATAGACAAGTAATCATGAGAGAAAGTATTGTTTTCGTCAAAACTTTCCAAGTTCCTAGGAATCTCCAGGTTTTTTTTTTTTTTTAATTTTAATTCTTATTTTTGATGGTGATTTTTCATAAAACCCATAAAATATGGGAAAAAATCTTTTTTTTTAAATGACCCCAAAGATTTTGATCAAGATTTAGTATATTGTAGCCCTCCTGAACAAGTAGTATATTTGTAAGCTCTGAACAAAATGATAGAACTCCTATTCCTGTAAAAATTACTGTAGTTCAAAAGTTATTGTAACTTATGTTATTTTCCCATAAAAACACACGAACAAATAAAAAAAGGATATTTCGAAAAACCCGCCATCAGCTGTATGGGCTATTAATTATCAGCTGTGTCTAAGGAATGTCGGCCTTGGTCACTAACAAGACTACAAGATCACGCCACTCACCCTACACTCATCACCATTCGTACTTGCTTAAAATACCTACTGTGCATGGTTGCTATTTACTGTATATATGATATATACTATATATATGATGTATATATGATTAAATAATAGTTTTACGTATGCTGGCCTGTTTTATTTGAACCTCATTAAAGTGCAAGACTCACACTTCAGTTTTACACTACGAAAAAATAAATATCTTTTATAAAAGATCCAGGTTATTTGTATATGAAAAAACATTTTTTTAAATATAAGAAACGTAGATGAGGCGTCCAAGTGTTAAACAAAAAATTCACAACAAGCAAAGTTCCATTAAAAAACAATAAAATATAAGTATAGAACTATAGTCTACACTTAGGTTGAGGTTAAGCTGTTACCAATTATTGCTTTGGTATAGCAATGTTATACTATATTATTAATATTGTTATACAATACAATATCTTTTCAATTATAGCCTTACTAGCTATTACGAAATTACTTTATAACAACAGTTTGATAAGAGGTTACATCACTTATCAGTTATCAGTCGTAGAAATGAGAGACAGTTTCACTTAAAGTACTAAATTATCGTTTCATGTTATATCAAACTGAAATAGTAACGGTTGTTTTGAATTTGAATTTACTACGCGAGATCAACCCCTTTATATGCTTTGTTGTAAAGATATTCATAGTTTCTACGATCACGTTTTATATATTAAACTTCCCGTCGATTCAATTATTTAATCTTCCATCCCTCGTCCCTAAGATGAGTAACACGTCATCAAAGGTTACATATTCATGCATTACACCATACTTTGTAATGCAATAAAAAAGGTTGTAGCAGATTTAAGGTACTATACTTCAAAAACATATTAATGATAATTAAGACTTCTATTTCAACATGAACATGCACTGTGTATGGCGAACCCAGTTGTGGAGCTGTAGATTGTGAGGGCCAAAGAAAATGCGCTCCTATCTGTAGTTAACCTTATCAACTCTAGGCCCAACTAACCGTGTTCGACGGCTTGTTTTCTGCATGGAATTTGTTTATCTCAAGTTATTTCGTAATTGAATGAACAACTGAGTAAATTCATTAATCTTCCGCTTGATCAGCTTTCCCCGATGAATTAGCATTCGAATTTGGCCACACTCAAACTTGAACCCTTACATAAAAAATGACGTATTCTTTACATAACACATGTTTGTTGATCTATCTCACCTAGAGGCTATACTTGTGTATACAGCCTGCAGCGTTGTGTGTGTTTCATATACATATTGCGTCATCAAACAAGGAATCAATGATTATCTGCACATGGGTCACATATCTTTGTGCCCTTAGAGCATAGCTTTGCTAACTTATAAAACAATTAGACAACTACGTAGAAAATTTCTAATCTCATGGTGCAGATATTTAAATTACAATCATTTTGGTATTTTAAAAGATATTTTGAGATGGTAAATAACTCGTAAACAGCCATTTGAAAATAAATCCAGACGGCCGCTAACCTCCAAGAACACTAACTTAACTGTAAAATTAGCTTTGCAAACTTGAGAGCAGCATATGTTATCATATCAATGGAACAGAGCCCTAGGCAAACATCGAAAAAGAAAATCAAGTTGTCTGCACCCCAAGAGCCTTCTAGCACTGCAGCTATGAGTGGCTGGAAGTGAGTTTTCACGGAGAAAAGGTTGTAACCACCCACATACACTCTCCTTTCATATATATATATATATACAGGTAATATCATAGATAAAACATTCTCCCTTATTGTTGGTTAGTCATAATATGCACGTTCCTAATTTGTACTTTGGTAAAATAAAAAAAATATTTAAAATATTAGGCCTATCATCACAAAAATATCTATGAATTAAAAGGCTTGCCAACCTTCTAGATTTTTATGATAATAACTTCAAGATATTTGCTGCCACCCACTCACACTAAATTAATACCAGTGTCTTTAGCTGTATCACATTTGGTCAATCTAATTAATTTAATTATTTCAATGGTCTCTCGGTGGTCTTGCCGATTAGCTACCGGTACCCATTTTAGCTGAATTATCGAGGGACTGCCATACCAAACAGAAAACTTACTACCAAGCAATACAAAAAACTGCAATTTAAACTGCATTCGTCAACTATATAGATACCATAGCTGATTAGGTTTTCCAAATATGGTTTATAAACTATGGTCGTTTTTAAGCATAATTTTATCAAACTTCAATGATTTACCAGAGTTTTCCCTTTGAACGTACAAAATATAAACGTCTTTAACAAATCCTTATCAAACACATAAAAATATACTAAGAAAAATTTGTTATAATCTGCCTTTGTTATTAATAGATTATATAAATTAAACATATACTTATTTTTAAATGGGCGGCATGATTTTTTAGATGTTCAATATAAAAAGCTTTAATATTCCTGTTAGGATGTATTGGGAATGGTACAGTATTATCAATTCTTAAAAAGAATTAACTATATTTACTAAATTAATTATTTCTGATTGGTAAATAGCACCTGCATTTGTAAAGAAAATAAAACAAACAAAATGTTATTTAAATGAAATACATATCTAACTGTAGTACACATTTTAATACATTAATAGATTTTTATATCTATAACGAACAAAGGTAGTCGTAATGCCATTGTATAAGATTTTAACAATAAAAGTACATTTTATCGATTTTATCAAATCCATAGCAACGATATTTTCAGTGCTATTTCTGTGGTCCTTAAAGTCACATCGTATTGCATTTTGTCCAAACTTTTACATTTTTCTAACGTCTACACTTTCTAGATTTCATCCTTCATGATGATTTTGGACTTCGTCCGGTAAGTAAATATAAGTTTTAATATTTTATTGACAGTATAAGTTTGACTGCTTGATATGGAGGAATAACTGAATTGTTTGTTACCTGCTCTTGACTTGCAATTATTCATATTTTCCTTGAATATGGGAGTGTATTTTGATGTTTTGCTAAGTGCTTTGGGGTCAAAAGATTTAGTATGGAGGTTTGCTAACTGGGTTGAATATCTGTAGGTACGGCATGTTTGCATACACTTGAAGTGAATAGGTCTTTGTTAAGTTGTAGACATATATGATTGGTCTGCTTCACTTTAATAAGTTAATTGAGTTAATAAGTTAATAAGTTAAATGAGGTTTGAGTAAGTTTGTGCATTACCTTTTTTCATTGTCTAGTTAACAATTCAAAATCTATGTAAAAAATAAAAATCCCAGATCAGTTTTTGTGTTGCTCTAAATACACACTAGCCTATTACTTGTTCAATGACCCTTGCTTGCGTTTGGTTTTGAATTACTGTGTTATATTCAGAAAGGAGATTCAATCAACCTACCTTTACTATGTGTTTCAAAGCTGCCTTTACCCAAGTCTTGTGAACACTCTGGGATGAATTGATTAGTCTAATGTTCCAATGATTGATTTGCTCTCTTCTCCGGGGACGCGTTGCAGAAAGTCAACAGTCCCGGAAGGTCAAATAATTTATACCTGTGCCGCTAGGTCAAAAACTACAATGTTTGCAGTGTCTGTAGATCAAAAATCCCAGTAAGTCAAATAGTACAGTCTGAGCTAAAAACGTGGTCTATGTTAAAGCAATTGACTTATTGGGAATTTGATCTAATGCAACAGCAGTTTTAATATAACGAAATAAGATAAAATATAAGTTCAGTTTCGCTGAGTCAACAGTGCCGGAAGGTCAAAAGTATAATCTGTTAAAAACAACGATAGTCCTCTCGACGCATGACTTCAATAATTTCGTGTTTTGGTGTACTTAAAGTTGTGCTAAAATTTTGAAAATTGGCACAGAGCTTCTTGGTTAGTCCTTCTCGATGACTATTTTGTTGGAACTTTAAACTATTTACCGATCTAATTAATAAAAATTGATATGTATGGTGAAATAGTTTTAAATCGTGATTTCTAACATGAAAAAGTTAGCATGCGAGATTTTTGTTTGTTTTTGGGTTAGAGAGGTTTTGTCTGTGGCAAAGTTGTAGCCAAAAGTGTGATGCGTAAAATATATTTTTTTGAATTTTTTACAATCAGTGGTTCAATAGATAACTTGGGTTGAAGAGGACGGCAAATTTAGCATTTTGCAACGCATGGAAAGAACTACATCGTACGATGCGACTGCTGATTGGACTTTCAATTTACAGTTCTAAGAACAAGAAAAAGATGAATATACAGATCACCAGTACATTCATATTATTTATAAAACATCTTTCTGTATTACCAGCTTACATTTTTCACTTATAAGAATACATCATAAACAGGGTGTTGAAAATAAGCGGGGAGATACTTTACCTAGTAATTCCTTGGGTCAAAATAAACAGAAAATCAAGGATAAAATTTTTTCCGAAATCGTTTCGTTAACCAGATATCCACCATTTTGCATTTTTTACATACATATATTTATCTTTGCACTTTTCCAACCGATGTTTATGGAACTTGGTATGTATGTTAAGGTATGAGAGACCCATGTTATAAAAAAAGATTCATCTCGATTTACCCTAAAATTTTAAATTTAACACTTAACTACAATATAATATACTTTACTACATCACAATATTTACGTATCATCATAAATCTTTAACAAAATAAAACGTTAACATTTTTAAAATCCAAAGTAAATCAATATAATCTTTCTTTTTTGAAAGATATATTTAAAAAAAGGCGATGGTAAAATAACGACAGGCGAGTTTCGATCTGGGTGTTTCAGGTTTGAATCTAGGAGGATTTAACATTAATTAGGTAACATTAATGTTTAATCCTCCTAGGTTTGAACTGATTGAGAGGATGAAACCGAAGGGGGGAGGTAGCAACAAGTGCACTAGTATTTACTAGTGTCCAATTACAATTTGATGGATTTAACCAAAACCTTTTCTATTTCACTTATTTTCAGCTGTTAAATTTCAAACGATACGTTTTAGCGACATCATTAACGTTATTATCATCATCATAGTTTGAGTTTGGGTTTGCGGCAATGTATTTTTATGAATAAAACCTTTAATTTTATACAAAACTTGACCTCTGCTGCTATTAATTGACTGTATGCACTATTAATTAACAGCTGTGTCTAAGGATTATGTCGGCCTTAGTCACAAACAGGACAACAAGATCGCTCCACTCATCCCACACTCATCTCCATTCATACTTGGCTTAAAATGCATACATTTGTATGGTCGCCATTTCAAAGCAACATGGCTACATTATCAATGACAAACGTGGAAAACCTTATACGAGTGTGAGTAAGTCCGAAAACAGAGTAAGTCCGAAAACAACTCTAAAAACAATAAGCAATAAATTGCAAGAACCGTTGCTTATATCATTGGGTATACACGTATGTACTGACGTGTATACTCAATGCCTATATCGAACGAATGTACATCGTGAGAATTTCCATTAGTTGTTCCATTTAGTTGTGTGTCCATTAGTAGAATATTTTAGTTGACTCTGTTAAAGTCAGCGGAAATTGTGACTGTTATTACCCTTGAAATAATGCTTGTGTAGTACTTTGCAATCCTACCAATGCTTATAGAATCATACGATTACAATTTTCTGGTTAGAATATGTCGCATAGAGTGGTGACTACTGTATCTTTTTGGTTTGCTTGTAAAACAGGATCAACAGGGATTTTCCATCGACTTAAACAATACGATACTCTCAAATTGTTCATTGCAATAACAAAATATCACACAGTTTGATGAATATTTGTGTGTAAACCACACACATTACACCTGTATTCTATCTATTTTACCTTTTATTTTTCCAAGACTTTATAGAAAATCACGCATTACGTGATCAGTGAAGAAAGGCTATATCCCAAGACAAGGGCGGTCCTAGACATATATTTTGTTGGGGGGTCACCGGGGGCCTGGGGGGTATGGAATACCCCCCGAAAAGGAGGGGGATCTTGGGGTTCCCCCCGGGAAAAATATATAAATAAATAAATATAGGCTATACAGGGTGATCAACTCAAGGAGGCCACCATTGGGGTATCGGAAACGGTAAGAATTAGAGAAAACTTAAAAGGGGGACATTCCTTTATTGTTTGTGGCAGTTAAAAATATGATTTTAGTTTTTTGAAATTCAGCCACCATTTTCCAAAATGGCGGCCAAATTTGAAATTTCTTATAGAACACCCTATATTTTATCATGTTTTCGGATAGAATAGGCAATTTAAAAACTTTTTTAGCCTTGACATTTATTCGATAAACCCACTCGTTTAGGAGTTACAGCCTATGGAAAAATGACTTCCGGTGTACATTTTACATCATGTAGCTCCTAAACAAGTAAGTTTATAGCAAAAATGCGAAGAGTAAAAAAGTCTTACAATTGCATCCACATTCCAAAAAGACCATAAAATTCGTTAAAAATATGAATTATATTATTTAAAAAATGGCGGCAAACTTGAAAAGTGGAAAACATTTTATTTTATAGTCTTTAAGGAATGTAGATGCAATTCTAAGACTAATTTACTTTTTCCAATTTTGCTCTAAACTTACTCGTTTAGGAGCTACATTATGTAAAATGTACACCGGAAGTCATTTTTCCATAGGCTGTACTCCTAAACGAGTGGGTTTATCGAAAAAATGTCAAGGCTAAAAAGTTTTTAAATTGCATATTCTATCCGAAAACATGATAAAAAAACTAAAATCATATTTTTAACTGCCACAAAAAATAAAGGAATGTTCCCCATTTAAAATTTTCTCTAATTCTTACCGTTTCCGATTTCACAATGGTGGCCTCCTTGAGTTGATCACCCTGTATATATGAATTTGAACGGATGGTGTTTTTGGCCTCTAGGGGCCTCAAAACGAAAAATTAAATCGGTCCCGGGTCCAGGTGTTACCATAAGTACTACGGTAATAGCTTATTCCCTATATGGGAAATTCGCCAAAAACCTAATAGTTATATAGAACAACTAGCTGTTGTACCCGTGCTTTGCAACGGGAAGAGAACACGAAATAGAAACATTTTGATCTTTACATCTGATGATAAAATAGTTACACATAAACCTTTAAAAAACAAAATTTTACCTTTATGGCCTTAATAGGATAGCTGTTGTCATAAATGTAAAAAAATAATAGTACTGCACCCTGTTGGTAAACCTTGTAACTTTTTAATGCTATTCAATATCATAGAACCAATTTGTGTAGTTGAAACAGCTGACAAAATTCGTTTATTCCTTTTAAATACGATTACTCATAAGGTTAACATGGGAAACTCCAGAGCCACTGGGGCGGAGCCCGAAAGGACTTTTAAGATAAGAATGCGTCTATATGTTAATCGGGAATGTGAACTATCATCATACCAAATTTCAGCCCAATCCGACCAGTATTTTTCGCGTTTACTTGTCACAAACATACATCCAATCTTTCTCATTTATAATATTAGTAGAATATTACATTCAACCAGTTGTTAGTTAAAACAAATTATATGGGACTAAAACAAATCAATGATTACAAAGATTCCTTTAAAAAATAATTTGAACATCCTACTATTTTACTATGCATATTTAATTAATCTGCCATCCTCGTACCGAAGAATTAAATGTATCAATGGTCAGCATTACACATAGTATAAATAAGCCAACCATAAGTATGTATTTGAACTTTCTTCCAAATGCTGAATTTGTGTCACAAATGCTGAATGTTACAGCTGTTAGGTTAAGCAAATAATTATATTGTACTAAAAGCTAGCTATATTGGAGAAGGTTAGCATCGGCTGCTAGACTTTTTGAAAACTAAAACTTAATTTATAAAAAACTGGGACACTTATTTTAAATTATGGCTTTGAAATTCCCTAGTTCTCAAAATTGTCTTTCTTTCAACACAAAACTAATGAAAATCCATCGTCTGGTTGATTCAGAATCGTGAAAAACCCCATTTACGTTTTAATAACATATATGATAGTTTGAACAGGTTTCAACCCTTCCGAGGCGTAATACATTTACACAGTTTATATGTAGACTACATTATAACTCATAAAATAGTTCTACAATTAAATGGATCTCCTTTTACAAACGTATATAATAACCAGAAATTTTCAGATCGTCCTTGCGGGTATTTTATGCCACAAATTTTGACGAAAGGCTATACCTATTTACAGTGTTGACCAAACAGTTGAAAAGAAGCATTAATAGATAAGCTATGTACCAAATATGATAATTTTAGCTCTATTCTAATTATGTCAAAACACGAAGTAACTTAAAGCGAGTTTTGTTGGTGTAGTAAGCGTTGCAGGAGGTCTACTTTACACTGAATCGACGTTCACTTTTATTGCTTTTGATCTTCCGGCACTGTTGACTCAGCGAAACTGAACTTGTATTTTACCGTATTTCGTTATATTAAAACTGCTGTTGCATTAGGTCAAATTCCCAATAAGTCAATTGCTTTAACATAGACCACGTTTTTAGCTCGGACTGTATCATTTGACTTACTGGGACTTTTGATCTACAGACACTGCAAACATTGTAGTTTTTGACCTAGCGGCACAGGTATAAATTATTTGATCTTCCGGGACTGTTGACTTCCAGCAACATTCCCTTCTCCGGTGCTCCACCTCGTTGTGAGTGGCTTCGTCTGTCATCTCTAGGTCGTCACTGAGAAGAAGTGGACCTACTGATGACAGATTCACTTTGGATGTTCATATTTCGTTGAGATTAAGGTGCAGGGTTGTGTTGGTTCCGTGGTAAGAATATTTTGTGAGTGAGCAGAACACAAGTAGTTGACCATTGTCAGAGTTCTTATATCAGTGGCTTGCACTCTCTGGCTCTGGGAGCAGTTGTAGCTGTAACTGTTTGATGTGATGATTTATGGCACTTTGTCTATTTTCTCTCCCCCGACTACCTTTGAAAGTCACACCTTCCGCAGAACGTTTCTGGTATGAGATCCCTACCTCACTCTTATCTAGGTCCGTCCACAGTAATTAGAGTTCAATATTGTCTGTTGGTTAGTAATTCTTTCTTTTCAAGATTTAGTATCACCTTTCTTTTAAGTTTACGATTTACATTCATTTCATTAATTTCAAAATAAACAAAAATACAAATAAAAATCACAGCTGTCGCTGCAGACGAAAAGTAAGATCAAAATCAATTTATTACTGAAAGATAAATAAAATACTAAAGGTGTACAACATTTTATAGAAGAAAGTAATTTTCAAAAAGAATCCCACGTCTGTGTTTGGAAATGTACCGATACAATCCGACTACGTCTACTAAGGCAAGTAAGCACACAAATACTGGCTTATCCTGACCGTTTGTTTAGTGTTGTCAGACAATAGTCTTGTTAGCACCAACTTTCCAATTTTTTTTTCTCATATGAAGGATCTCTATGGTGGCCAGCTTACAACAAGCTCTAAACAAAATATCCCAGGGTATGAAAGATTGGTAGATCTCTTTTTAAATTCACCTGCAAATGTTTGAATTTATCTGTTAAGACGGACTTAGCTCAGGATTTTGTATCCAACACGAATTTATGTGTAGCAGCCTACAGTATGTGAATAGCTAAAATATCTATCTATTCCCAAATTGAGTTCAATCAAAGGTTCAATATAGGTAACAAAGTTTATTACTTACAACTTTATCAAATCCATGGTAACCATCAGGTCAGAGTATTTTCTACAACCTTTGGAACTACTAGCATATTTTTATAGCCTCTATTTTTACAAGTTTTATCTGCTGCTTAAATACTATTTTCTAATTTTCCACGTTCATGATGGTCCTTAACTTTGTTCGGTGAGTAATGATTTTATCAATATTATAATGTACATTTTAATTATGTTTTTTTCATTAAAGATAATTACACGGTTTCTTCATTTGGAAATTTCCTCTCCTTAAGTCCACAAAGAGAAGAAACATAGTAATATATTTTGGTGTACCATATTGCATTATAATATTAAAAAACGTGTTTGTAGGATGTTTGTAGTATTGTAAGATGTTAGGATAATTTTGTTTGTGTGTTTTAGTTATATTGAGTAAAAATGACTCATAACAAACTGTTAACTAAACATAATGCAGTTTCAATCTCCTCAACTAAACTCATTCTAATGGCATTTACAAATGATTGGATGAGTAATTATGATTTCATGTATTATAATTAATAATAGTATAATAGTGTATTTTAATGGTGTAACAATAGTATATGTAATTATAATTAAGAAAGTAAAAGTCTTGTTGTTTCTTGCACTTGATATTTTTATTAATGTTTTATAGGGTCAATTTTGCACTCATAGTCTGTTTATACTCATAGTTAAAGTCTCATTACTGGAAATAAAACACATGGTATTTGGAAAATCTTATGTGGTGATCGTTTTATTTGTTACCAACGATATGTTACTGGATGAACTATGCACTACTTACATGCACCCTCAGTTAAATCTATTAATTGAATCGATAAAAAAGGTTGTCTTTATTAAAATAAATACATGTTCAGGGACCACCCGATCCTCTGTTTGCTCGCTGCCGGCTGCACTGCCTCGCTGGGGTACTTCTGGATGACCAGAGAGCCTGCACCTGCACCACCACCACCATCACCCGCCCCAACACCAAGCCCCTCCGTCAGCTCCTCGTCCAGCGACAGCCAAATCTTCTACCCTGCGAACGAGGAGCTGGACGTGAGTATTCATATTGATTGAGACTACAAGCGTTAAAAGTGTAGTTTAATTTCTTAGGAAAGCTTTCGCAAAATATTGAGTTTAAGAATGGAAGTATCATGAAAAGAGTATCATAAAAACCAAAAACACTGTTCGATGAAACAGTAATAGATAGGATATTATTATTAATGCTATGTATTTAAAAGCAATGGCATGGGGTCTGCCAACAGAAATATTTCAGATTTAAATACGGAAATTTGGCATAATATTATGTATCATAGCATTATGAGTGAAAATAAAAGTGGTTACTCATAATCAACATACAAACTTTTAGACTTATATTTTTGAGTTTTCCAATGATTATTTTCTTACAATCTAAAGATTAAATTTAAAGTCAATTGATATATTTACTTGACATTTAATCCTTAGATTGTACGTCTCATATTAGAGGATAATCTCAAACAAAGATCCCTTCCATGAACGAGTCTAGCTGGTTATTATTTAGTTGGAACTGAGAAGTATTCACTATGAGTTCAAGCCAGAAATACATTTTACTAATGTATGTGCAAATATGTTTACAGGACGTTTGGCCAGAGGTGCAGGTGCAGGGCCCCAGCGGGGACCATTAAGACACACAAGCTACAGAGACACAAGCACCCACGACCATCTAGGGTAACAGTGCAGCCGGACAGTAAGGAGGAGTGAACAAACATGCTAAACAGAAGAAAACAGAAGACAAGAAAGGGCCATGCCCAAAAGGCCCAAAACACGCGCAAAGAAGAAAAGGAAGGGGCCATTCCCAAAAGGCGCAGAACACGGGCAAAGAAGAAAAGAAAGGGGCCATGCCCAAAAGGCGCAGAACACGCGCAAAGGAGAAAACAAAGGGGCCATGCCCAAAAGGCGCAGAACACGCGCAAAGAAGAAAAGGAAGGGGCCATTCCCAAAAGGCGCAGAACACGCGCAAAGAAGAAAAGAAAGGGGCCATGCCCAAAAGGCGCAGAACACGCGCAAAGGAGAAAACAAAGGGGCCATGCCCAAAAGGCGCAGAACACGCGCAAAGAAGAAAAGAAAGGGGCCATGCCCAAAAGGCGCAGAACACGCGCAAAGAAGAAAAGAAAGGGGCCATGCCCAAAAGGCGCAGAACACGCGCAAAGAAGAAAAGAAAGGGGCCATGCCCAAAAGGCGCAGAACACGCGCAAAGAAGAAAAGAAAGGGGCAACAACAAGAAACTTAAAGAAACTCAGGTCCAAACACAGACAGGACATAGAAACATAGAAGGAGGAGTAAAGAAGTTAAAAACAAAGAACGGGGCAGCAACAATTTACTAACCTATAAAGCAAACAAGATCAATAATTGACAAACCTCTGCATTTTTTATGTTGAAGAGTTACATTTGAAAAATAAACTCGATTACAATGAAATAAATCTCTTTTGTCTTGCTATGAAATTTGGAGGTTAAAAATTATAACAGTTTTGAATTCTTCCATTAAAAGTGAAAAATTGAAATTAAAAACCGTTGTCACACTAAATTAAAAAAAATTCACGCATAAACCTTTCTTAAACAAATATTTGGGTCCCACCAACTTGGGCCCATCAACTTTCTTAGTGGTGATGTTGCTTATGAATGTGAATTCACAATACTTATTCTTATTGAAATCACATTACACTAACACTAAGTTGAGTTTTTAAAAGAATATCACTTGGACAACTTGATTCAAGTTACAGTTAGTAGTAGTATTAACTTGTTTTAAACACACGTTATATCTTTAAGAAAAACTGTTAACATTTTTTTTTTATCACAATTTTATTTACAATCTGTTCATTTTTAGAACATTCAGCAAATACAATAACAACTATTATTGGTTTGAAAATAATTTAAAATAGAACCTGCACCGATATTAAAAAAAGAAAACTTACGAGTGCTTTCGCCAGCTATGCTGTCATCATCAGACGTTGTAGCACGTTATTTAACATTGGTTAAATGGAACTGCTGAAACATATGTTCAATGCTATTAGTATAGGATTCGGGCCAACAACGTCATTTTGTTTATGTTTATGATCCATACCGGTATTTTTCTAGTAATCGTGCGTTGTAGTAATAGAGATCGATGCATTAGACACATCACAAAAACTGAAGGTTATGTTTACAATAATCTATATATTAATAGGCAAGCATGTTTCTTTAAAACCTTTTTCCTCAGCTCGTGTGCATCGTAGGGAAAATCTACGCATACTGTTAGAAAGCTATTTTCCTGTAGGTGTGCAGAATCCCTTTATAAATTAAAATAGGCTCAAAAATAAGCACAAAAAATGAATTTAAAATTTTGAAAAATTTAACATGGATATTATGAGTTGCCATGCTGGTGACGAAATAACAACGAAATATAAACAGAAAATCAAAACAAATGGAAGAAACTCCAATCACATGTTCTATTCAAAGTGTGGAATGAAAATAAAGAAGTCTGTACATTAAATATTTTTGGTCGAGTTTCGACCACTGGACGACCTCTAGTACTTATTTAATACGCAAGCAGGATTTTTGTGACAATTACTCCTCCGAAACTACTGAACCGATTGACATGTTTCTGGTGTCATTGGAAAGAGCGTAACGTGAAGTGGTGCAGGAAACTTTCTTTTTAGATAAATAATTAGAGAGTGAGGCCCTGGGGCCCTTTAAAGTTTCGTATTTCTCCATAAGATTAACATGGGAAACAAAAATTGTTTTGAAACTCCAGCTGTTGTCAGAAATTAAATATTATTAATTGGTCTCCATGGAAGCATGAGAAAATTCACAATGTTTACATTTGCTTTGACATTTAAATGTAAACAATCAGAACTGTCAAATGCCTATTTCACAATTTCAGACAGCTGATCCAAAAAAATAAAACAACTATGTGGTAGGTTTATTTTTATCTTAAACTTTATGATAGATTATTTATTACAATGATGTAATAAATTATATAAGTTATCAATTATTGATTTTTTTTTAAAGATTTGGCATATGAGTATGCCTATGATAAATAACACAATTTCAGAGTTCTGCCAGTTTTTGCCTAACACTGTTCTGTAGAGTTTAAAGTAGTCTACACCTTATTGTCTACAAATTGGCTAAATAACTTAGGTATGGTACATTATAAAAGCTGACAGCTTTTTTACGTTGACTTAAATTGTAAGCTTACCTTTTCCCGTCCATGGGCAGTTTGTTAGTTAAAAATTAACCCTTTAAACTGGAATAGGACTGTTATGTAAATTGTAAGTATTTCCATTAGTTAATAATCTTTTAGTTGACTCTTTTAAAATCATCAAGAAAATTATGACCGTTATCTGTTTTTAAACAAGTCATTACTTCTTTGCAATTGCTCGATTTCGAGCAACATGTACACTAGTTATGTTAAGTACATTAAGGTAAAATTATAAAAATAATTAATAATACAAATAATAAATAATTATACAAAAATAAAATCTGAAGTAAGTTTAGTCTAATGGGTTAGTTGAACTCTTACAGTTTTGTTAATTTTGAAATTAGTAATTTTGAATTTAGTAATGTTACTTTTGAATTGGACCGTTATCTTATTTACTAGACTGTCTATATTATTTATGAATAATGATTCCCAAGCGTTAGGTTCGTTGGGTTTGGTTACATTTTTCAGCGAATTAGTATTTTTAATTGAAATTAATTGTGTGGTCTTTTTCTAAACAATGTTTCGCTAAAGCTAATCTTTCTGGTCTGTTTGTCTAATAATTTTAGGATTTTCAAGAGTATTTTTTATTTAGTCTATTGTTAAAATGAAACAATTAATTTAACAATTTCTCAAATGTTTTCTTGATGTCTTTATAATACGTTGTATAGGTGGTGTTCATCCATTGTTTCTTTCCCTTTATCGGTTCTAGTTTCGTTATTTTCTTTTTATTATTTCTTTTTAAAGCTTTTATCAACATGTTGTATATCATTTTGGTCTCATACCCATTATACTGGGTGGCGCATAAAGAACGCATGGATTTGAGTTGAGTGGTGAGAGCAATAAGAGCGTCCGTGGAGGGACAGGGCCTGGTTGTTTTGTAGGTTAGGGCGTCCAGTTTTAGTAGCAATGGTGCAATTGACCTGGCGCATCGCGTTTTTGCTGTAGAACATTTATTCAAAAATAATGAATCTGATATAACGGTTCAATGGCTTCTCCGTGCACAGTTCAATGGTTCAAAACAAAACCCGATCGCAACACAATACTTTGTTGGGTAGCTTCTTTTCGCACAACTGAATCAGCTATGAAGCAGAAGTGGTTTGGTTGTCCTTGCACGGCGCGAACTCCACAAAATGTCGACAGAGTTAAGGACGTCTGTTCAAAGCCCTCGCCGCTACACTAGGCGATGTGCTCCAACTGTGTGCTTGTCTTGACGCTCGTTGCAGGGCAACCTGAAAGATGAGTTAAAATTTCATCCTTACAAAATTATGATCGTAAAGAAGATTTATGAACGTGATTACGAACAATGAAAACTGTTTTGAGAGAACGGTTGATGTTCTTGCCACTGATGGCGTTTTGTTTATGATGTTAATGATGGAGCGCAGTTTCATTTGGATAGTTATGTCAATAAGCAGGACTGGCGCTATTTGGCAGCAGAAGACCCAAAAGAATTGCATCAAAAACCACTGCACGATTTGAAACTTAACGTTTGGTGTAACTTTCGAAAGTGGAAATTCTTGGGCCTTACCGTACTTTTTTGAGGACTCGCGGAACATACTTTGTGCAGAAAAGCTGTTGAACAGTTTAAACAGATTTAATTACTTTTGAATAATTGTTCTACCGCAAAAATGCGATGTACCACGGACCACTGCACCATTGCTACTAAAACTGGACACCCTAACCTACAAAACAACCAGGTCCTCCACTACGCTCCTATTGCTCTCACCACTCAACTCAAATCCATGCGTTCTTTATGCGCCACCCAGTATTTATTTATAAATTTTAATTCTTTGTTATAATTTTCTTCAGATAGTGGAGTATTTAAGAGGCGATAAATCATTGAATTGAAAGCCGATCTTTTTGTTCTGGAGAGTGATGAGAAAAAAAATTGGTGTCGTTTCTATTTTAAATTACACGTTATATCATAATCTATTGATATTAGCCTACTCCATTTGGCGCTAAACTAAAGAACTGGTGTATTTATTTTTATTTTAGAATACACTCTGAGTAAAGGATTATCATTTTTCAAAGATTGACGTATAACAATAGTTTAGTGAGTCGGTGGCTCAGTCGGTAGCGTCGCGGACTTCAAGCCCAAGGCAGCGATGTCGTGGGTTCGGATCCTGGTCACTGTCGATAACAATTTTATCAGTACAGTTCACCTTTGTACTGTACCGGCTCACTCCTTGCTTTGCTGTTAACGATCCACGCACGGGCGCTTAGTCTATGTAGACGGGCAAATGCAAGGTTAAAAAAGGCCGCCAACCTCTTAAAAAAAAAATTATATATAACGTTAATAGCCTGGTGAGTTGTGTTTTGCCGACGCCTCGCTTAAGTTATTGGAGATGCGTGGTAGTTAGGTAATTGTTTTGTTTGGTTATATTTCTACTGTAGAATTGACGAATGAATTGGTAGAATTTACAGTATTTACGCTACTAAACATTCCACAATTCACAACAAATTACGTGTTATATCAAATCAATTCACCGCCGTACCAGCCTGTATGTGTGAGGTCCCAGCATCGTGTGGCCAAGTTATGCGGCTCACTCCACATAATGTATCAGTAACCACATACCGTGGTCTGTGTTGGTAAATCAGCTGAGTTATGGAGCCAAAACCCTTCACCTTGGATCAGGTTTCTTTTCCTTTCCCTCGCGAGCGCAAAATTGCGAAAACAAGTTCAGCTGTGATATACTGGTACACTTGCCTCGTGGTACAGTAATAAGAAAGTATTAAAATAGATTAAAAGTAAATATACAACCAAAAAGATAATTTTTGTTACACAAATTTACTTTGTTCACCTTTTATTTGCCTAATAGTAGTGTTTCATTTCAAATGGTGCGGGGTTAGTTTAGTTGTTAGCGATTGCAGCACTCTCCTCGTGGCCCAGCTGCCCAAATCCCGTCTGTCATCCGTGGAATTTAACTACGAGATAAATGTGAAATATTAGGAAATACGAGTCTGTCAGGCATGGAGGATCTTCTCTGTATCAGAGACCTCTCACCAATATAATGCTCGAAACACAAAGTACATATTATTTGTTACATATACAAATCCACTATGAATTTAAGACAAGTCTAATTTTGTGTTTTACGTTTTACAAATAAGTAAATTGTCTTTTGAAGCTAATTGAGGATGTATGGAATAGTAAAAAGTCTATGTTCCAACAGAGGCTATTG